TTGTAGAAAAAATGAAAAACTCTACATGGGTATGAAATGTTGAAGGAGGGGAAAAACAAGCATCTATTTAAACTCTCCGTTAAACGCATCCGCCTAATTTTTACTGTATTATTTAAATTAGTTTCCCAACGCGCATCAGACCCACTTTTCCACACAGCTGGAGCAGCAAAGATGCTTCAGCCGCGCGTCAGAACTAAACTAGTACAAGCATCAAAAATGAAGCAGCATCTGCGTTTTTGCAGCTCCTGCTGCTTTAGGTGTGAACGTAGCATTACATGCAAGTCTATGGTTGATGCTCAAGGAGCATCAAAAGGTCCAATCTAGAGCAGCAGAAGCAGCGCATCTTGATGCATCAAAGCAGTGCCTCATGAGCATCTGAGGACTGAAGCGCTTCAAAAGCAGCAGCTGCACATCGCGCCACATCAACCAATCAGAAGCTGATGTGAGAGCTGACAGGGAGTCAGACACAGCAGTACAATGCAGAACGCTATGATCACTCCTCTGAAACAGTTCATTAATGCCTAAATTAACTTAAAATGTCAAATTCTGCCGGCAAAACATGTTCGCTTTTATTATCCTGGTGCCCGGTGAAAACCGGCTTCCAGCCTCAGCGAACAGCAGCGAAAAATCCCCAAGAGGTGACCGGGCCAGATGCTGATGTTGAAGGGGATTCCCAGTGACAGAGCACCGCCGGCGTACAGGGCTTTGAGCGTCTCCGACAGCAAATCAGTGTTGCCAACTCAGCGACTTTGTCGCTATATTTAGCGACTTTTCAGACCCCTCCAGCGACTCTTTTTCAAAAAAGTGACTAGCGACAAATCTGGCGACTTTTACGGTGTCACTGGCAGCTTTTGGAGACTCTTACGTGAACGCATGTATCGTTCCTACTCTCGTCTTCCAGCGGCAGCTGCTGCCGTGGGGCGCCTCTCCCGTCCCAACCCTGTTCTCCCGCAGGAGTCCCTCTCAGCGCTGCAGTCAGAGCCGCAGGATGTTTACCCTCAGCGTCCAGACTGCAAATGAAGC